TGATGCTGGAGGTCTTTAGGTACACAGACCGCGTCGTCAACATGGTCAGGCCGCGCAAGCTGCTGATGATCGCTGTCGGTATGTCTTGTCCATCAGAATTCACCCCGTACTCCGGCTAACGCTTCCCAGACGGTGTCGCTCCTCGTGCGAAGATGAACCAGCAACGTTCCCGACGTTTCCGCTCGGCGCAAGAGGCGAAGGAGAAGGCAGACGAAAAGCAGGAGCTCATCAAGCTTTTGAAGCAGCAGCACGGCGGCGAACTACCGCCCGACAGCGAATTTAACGTCGTGAAGCAGGTTTTTGATTCGAACACCATCACCCCGGGTACGCCGTTCATGGATATCCTGGCCATCAGCCTGCGATACTGGTGCCAATACAAGCTCAACACAGACCCTGGATGGGCGAAATTGAAGGTCATCATCTCCGACGCAACGGTGCCTGGTGAGGGAGAGCACAAGATTATGGCATTTGTCCGATCGCAACGCGCGTCTCCGGAGCACGACCCCAACACGCGCCATGTCATCTATGGTCTCGATGCCGACTTGATCATGTTGGGGCTGGCGACGCACGAGCCGCATTTTAGAGTTTTGCGCGAGGATGTTTTCTTCCAAGACAGCAAGGCGAGAATGTGCAAGATATGTGGACAAAAGGGCCACGACGCGCGGAATTGTAAGGGTGAAGCGAAAGAGAAGGAAGGAGAACACGACGAAAAGGACCATGGTGTCGCCCTGAAGCCTTTCATCTGGCTTCATGTGTCCGTTCTGCGGGAATACCTGGCCATTGAGCTCAGCGTGCCCGACCTGCCCTTCCGATTCGACCTCGAGCGCGCCGTCGACGACTGGATCTTCATGTGCTGCTTTGTCGGAAACGATTTCCTGCCGCATTTGCCAGCTTTGGAAATTCGGGAGGATGGCATTGACACACTCATGGCCATCTGGCGAGACAACTTGCCTTCCATGGGAGGCTATGTCACAAAGGATGGTCACATTGACATGGACAGAGCCCAGATCATCATGAATGGTCTCGCCAAGCAAGAAGACGCCATCTTCAAGAGACGCAAGGAGCAAGAGAGGCGCCGCGAAGCCAACGCCAAGCGGAGGAAGCTGCAGAACGACAGCAGCGCGCAGAACGGCGCGCCTGGTGGCGGCAATTCTGCTCGAGGCGGCGGCCGACCCAAGAAAGACCAAGATTTTACCCCCAAGCATCTCCTGCGGCCCATAGAGTCATACCATGAGAAGAAGCTGCCTGCCATCTACAACCAGGGTATCACGCACGACAAGGTCGTCAATCGTGGTTCTGCCGATGCAAATGCTGCGAACAAGATCGCGGCCAGCGTCCTCAAGAGTCAGCTTCGCGGTGACAAGCCGGCACCAGCACCGGCTGCGGCCTCTGCCGCGGAACCGGCAGCCGACGCGGAGACCGCCAGCGCGCTTGGGAAACGCAAGGCCACCGAAGCTCTCGACGGGACGGATACTCCCAAGTCCACCGAGACCCCGGGAAGCGCTACGCCTGCCGCTAATGAAGACGATGAGCCAGTGGACAATGTCCGCCTCTGGGAAGATGGCTATCAAGACCGATACTATCAGCAAAAATTCGGGAAGGACCCCGGTGATTTGGACTTCCGCAAGTCGGTCGCCCATTCATATGCTGAAGGTCTAGCGTGGGTACTGCTTTACTACTTCCAGGGCTGTCCTTCTTGGGAGTGGTACTATCCGTACCACTATGCACCATTTGCTGCGGATTTCCGAGACCTCAACCAGCTGGAAATCTCATTCGAAAAGGGCCGCATCGCCAAGCCATTCGAGCAGCTGATGAGCGTGCTGCCTGCTGGGTCGCGCTCCGCCATTCCGGATGTCTTTCACCCCTTGATGCTGGAAGAGAACAGCGAGATTATCGATTTCTATCCCCAGGAGTTCGAGACCGACCTGAATGGCAAGAAGTTTGCCTGGCAGGGCGTGGCTCTCCTGCCGTTCATCGACATGCAGCGACTCTTGTCTGCGGTGGAATCCAAGTACCATCTTCTCAGCGAAGATGACAAGGCGCGCAACGGCGTGGGAAAGGATATTCTCATCTTGTCTGATGCGAATGAGGGTATTTACGATGATATCCTGACGAACTTCTACTCCAAGAAGCAGGGTGCGCCTCATTTCAAGCTGAATCCGAAGAACAGCGGAGGCATGTCCGGCAAAGTCGCCAAAATGGAGGAGTATGTGCCGCATGGCTTGCTGCAATACCCCTTGAAGCGCAAGGCCATGCCTGATCTCGACTATGACAGTTCTGTCACGTAAGTTCACCATCAAAATCTGATCAACGGGGCAAGGGTGCTAACGTGCTACTAGTGTGATTTACGAGATGCCCACGACATCGCAAACCCACAAGTCCATGCTGCTGCGTGGTGCGAAACTGCCGCCACCGGCGCTGAACAGGAGTGACATTGAGATCATGAAGAGCAAGTCCAAGCGAGGTGGACGCAACCATGGCGGCGCCCCTCTGGGCCGATTTGACCACAACACTGGACGACATGAGCCTGTTAACTACGGGCCCAACGGAAACGGACAACGAGGAGGCGGCTATCGAGGAGGCCGAGGCGGAAGCCGCGGTGGTAATGGCGGTGGTGGTTACGGTCGTGGAGGATACAACCCGCCACACCAGTCGTTCTCAGGAGCGCCACCCCCAGGATGGCAACCACCGCCTCCTGGAGGCCCTGGTTTTGGTATGGGTGGCCCTCCACCGCCACCGCCGACGTATCAGCAGCAAGGAGGAAGAGGCGGTTACAATAACGGCTGGGCGCCGCCGCCTGGGCCACCTGGACCTCCAGGATACTATGGGCAGTATCAGGGACAGCCTCCGCCACCAGCTCCCAGCTATAGAGGCAACGGCCCGCCCCGAGATTCACGAAGATATTAGGTGACCTGTATGGATACCTCAGGCGATATAAACATAGGGGAGGTGCAATTTTGCATTTGGCAGCTGTTGATCTGGGACTGGTTCGAGTAAAGGCGTTGGGGTACTAGTGTATCTGGGAAGACAATATTGAAGAGAGGACGAAACCACTTGAGTACAAGACATGAAATAGAAAATATGCAATGCCGTTTCGCTGCGACTGCGCGTGATGTGATAATAATAAGTTCCCTAGCTTGAAGTTCCCTGAACTCCTGAGGTTGCCGAGGCTGAGTCAGTTCTCCCGCAGCGAGCATCAGGGGTTGGAGTCAGGTCCGGGGTGCGAGATTGCCACGCCCACTCGCGGCAGTTTGTAACACGAACAGTTTGTACACGGGCATTCTGCAACACTGGACAGTGCTTGTGGCCTATTATGAGGGAATATTTTAGGGTCTACAGCGGGATTATGAGCTCCAGCCTTTGACAATTGCAGAGGGGATTGATTCATCGCTCCAGCCTGTACGACTTGCCCAAGGCCTGATTGATCAACCATCGCCAATCCAGTTAGCCTGGTCTGGTCAGGTACCAGCAATGGGCAGCCTGGCCCCCAAGAGCTCCAAACGCCAATAAACGGGAACACCACCCCACCTTGATATAATACCTTAGCTCCGCATTTGATGAATCAACTGAAGGATTAGGAAAGGACTGGACCCTGGTGACCACAGTTGCCCGTCCGTGGACCGTGCCTCGAGCTTTGCTTTTCCCCCCGGGTCCCCTCTGCTCGGACTCCAAGCCAGCTCAGCGCACAAAGGACAGGACCGCAGCGTCCAGGAAGCTCGAGCGAGTCGCACGCAAGCCAGGCCAACAACGGCCTTGCTCGATGCTGTAGCAATGGACGCGGACGCTAGCCTAGTCGGCTCTCTCGTCGACAGGCTGGCCACGAGGGTACGCACGTCCAAAGAACATTGAAAGCAGAGTCGAGATACTGACCCCCAGATCAACAGCTGCCCCATCGCACAGGCACGAATGGCTCGACGTTGCCCGACGACAACATCCTCTCCGTCACGCGCGCTACCCTCGTCGAGTTTAGCAAGGTCTCCATAGAAACTGTCCTCGAATCGCTCCTCAGCCTGCTCGAGGGGCTCGCGCGCCCCTTTGAGACCGTCTCGTCTCACCCCAACCATGTGCTCCTCTCCGAGCTCCACGTCTTGGCGCTCGCCGCCGATTGCTGCTCGGCCAAGTGGAAGAGCTTGAGGCACGGTGTCAAGAGCAACGCCCGGCGCGACGATGGCGATGTGGACGACGACGACGACGAAGACGAGGAGGAGGAGGACGACGAGACAGAAGAAGACGACGACGACGATGATATACCGCGCCCACCGCCCCTCGACAAGGTCCTCGTCAATCGCATCCTCGACGCCCTCAAGAGGCTACTCGAGCCTATACCAGACGAGTACCAGCTCCCTCCGTCCACACTCCTGGACCAGGTTTCGCAGCGCAACGTGACGATCCCCCGGCTGCACCAGCCCAAGAACCCGACAGCCGCCTCCGAGCTCCTCGGTGCGCACCTGGCTGAGCTCGACACGCACGTCAAAGTGGTGATGGAGTATGTCACGGCATCCAGCTGGAATGCATCCTTTGACTACTTTAGAAATGCCATCTACGCGATACGGAGCAGCATGGCCGCAGGTGGCCTGGATGCTCCCAAGTCCGCCGTTGACGCGGAAGTCTCTGCCCTGGTTGTCGTCCGGCTGCTGTCCTTCTTCTGGGTAGACGGGCCCAAGTTGCGTCTTGTGATCCAGGAGATCTGCTCGAGCTACCTTCACTTTCGCAGGCCATACCAGGACGCCGTGGCAGTTGTTGTCCCCCTGCTGATCACCAGGTGGATCGATCGCTTCCCAGCTGAATTCGTCCAGCTCCACGTCCGACGGAGGCGACTCGACGTGTCCGCCGATACGCTATTCGACATGGCGCAACGTGTGTCGGATGATGCAAAGCGCCGCATGCTCCACGTGCCTCTGCAAACTTGTCTATTGTTCTTGCTTCCCGATATCTTCGAGGTGGCAAGTAACCTCAAGGAGGCCAAGAGCAGCGGAATCGTCAAAAAGGTGTCCTTCTTGGATGGATTGAAGAAATCACTACGCAACGGTCACGAATCAGCCGCCTTTTGCCTCGTGGCTCTGCTACGTGCGGCTCGCCACTTTCATGCTGAGAGTGACGCAGCGCTGGTATCGTACGCGCTCGACGTGCAGGATGAAGTGCGCGAAGCCGTCTTCCAGCGACCCATTTCTGGAGGCCCTTCACCATCGCCAACACTGGGGCTGGACACATCGCCATTTGGGCAGGAGATTATGACAGCCGCCTTTGTGGCTCTGGCTCACTTGAATCTGGACGGCTCTACAGAGCCCTTGGTCGAGAGCTGCGTTGCGCGTTCTGCGCCGGACAGTTTCAAAGTAGCTGCTGTCCAAGCCTGTTGCTACTTTGCGCGGCAGCCAGATAACGCCAAGTACGCTGAACTATTTGACCAGCTACAGCCTTTCATGCAATCGCAGCTGGAATCAGAGACCAAATATGGTATCGACTCGCGCAAACGATCCGTCGCGAGCAAAGACGGAGCGGACATGATTTGCAGCGTCCTGGACTTCCTAGACGCGGCGCCCCGGCGCCTCATTACCGGTCCCGTCAGCATCAACTCGCCCACCAACTTCTTCCGCCCCTTTTTGCTCTGTGTCTTGTCGCCTGAGATAACAATCCGTCGACGAGCCATCAGCGTGGCGCAGCGGCTGTTCAATGACCATGGAGAGGCGTTTCGGGAGGTCTACAACGGACGGGCCCTGGACAGCATCACGCTGCGGAAAGACTTGTGGGGACGAAGTTCGAGGGTGCTGATCTCGCTGTGTGAGCGTATTGCTGCGCAGACGAGCGACTCTGCCCTTGCTACATTGCACGATTGCCTAAAGGCACGGCTGTTGTTGCTCAAGAACATCCCAGAACTTTCCGAGGTCCCCAATGATGTCTCAGACGTTGTGCAAGCCTCGTCGAAGCTGGAGACCATTCTTCTCGTGTCACTATGCTCTGCCGACCCCGAGGTATGCCAGTTGGTGACTTCCTGCATTGGCATATTCTTGGAGGAGTGCTCCGTCATTGATCAAGTCGCTGAGGCCGCCAAGGCATCAGCCTCGGTGCTGCGCAATGGAGACATTTTCCGCGAGATCGCGTCACCGGAATTCCACTTCACTGGCTTGGTTGCCTTTCAGAAACGGAACCGTGGTTTATTGCGGCGCATGCAATTCCCGACAACGGGTATTCTCAACGCTTGGGAGACGGCATTTGATAGATGGATACACCTTGCCAAGGATGTATCTACCGCGAGCACGGATGCCGTCGATGACAAGGCGCTTGCAGAGTGGCGCAACTTCTCAGGCTTCCTTGCTTCTTTGGGCGGCATATGTGTCGCTGACCAGGCTATTATCCTGGAAGAACCCGCCCTCGGAGGCTTGAAGTGGATCGACCGACTGTCCTCGGAGAATTACGAAGAGACGTTGCTGACGAGATACCTGCGCCTGAGCATCCAGTTGCTCGCATGCGCCAATGTGCGTGTACGTGAGGCCATGCGGGACGTTCTGTCTAGTGAGGTATCTCCGTCGCTGTATCAGCCCCTGTTCCGCGCTCTGGAGTCTGAACTCGAGGTCCTCTTCACGGGCGCTCTGGCAACATCTGACAAGGCCCAGGACAGTGAGATCATTTTCGCGGAGCAGGGCGCGTCACTTCTGCGCGCTCTGGTTGAGCGGTTGACGACGCCGTCGGACCTTGGCGCGGCGTCTTCGATCCACCTCGGCGCCTTGACGCTGAACTTTGCCAAATTCCTAGACGGGGTGCCTGAGAGCTCGGACACTCTCAGAGTCAAGATCCGTGTCTGCCATCTGTGCGAAGCGGTCACGAAAAGAAAGGAGCATCTCAATCTTCGCGACGATGTGCGGATACGGAACCAGTTGTTGGAATGCATCTTTGGATGGATTGCCCGGCCACGATCATCACACGCTGAGCACAATGGACACTCAACACGCCAAGATGACATGGCACGTCTTCAAAGAGACCTTGACAAGGCTTGCCTCAGGTCATTGTCGGATCTCACCTATCGCTTGCCTCTTCAGCCATCCGAAAGTCAGACTGACGCCGGCATGAGTGAGATCAAGTCACAGATGTTCCACACCTACTTCAACCGCTTCCTCTCCTTACTAAATCACGAGACTCCAGAGTCGGGTCGCAACGAAGCCACCGTCGGCCCCGCCGTCAGAGAGGACACCATCTCGAATTCCGACCTGGCCATCACCATCCTCTCCAACCTCCTCAGCGCCAACATTGACGTTGGTCTGAAGCATTCGCTCAGCATTGGATACCACGAGAACCCCGAGATTCGTACAGCTTTTGTGCGCGTTCTGTACAACATCCTTGTCCAAGGTACCGAGTTCAGCAACTTGACCGACTCTGCTGTGAGCGAAAAGTACGAAGAGCTCCTTGAACTGCTCACAAAGGATCTGTCGCTTGCAGTTTCCATGAGCTCCATCTGCCCGAGCACCGAAGTTGACGAGGTTGCCATCTGCCTCCTCACCGTATTTGAGCAACGAGGGCTCACCTTTGAACTGTTTGAGGCTCTCATCAAGCAAGAGGTAGAAGACACCAACAACGAGGCGGAGCTTCTCCGGCGCACATGCGTGCCCACCAAGATGCTCTCAGTGTATGCCAAGTGGAAGGGAGCGCAGTACCTCAAAGACACGTTGCAAAAGGTCCTTGATAGACTCATGCTCAATTTCCAAGACCTCGACCTTGAGCTTGATCCAGCACGTGTTGGCTCGGCGGAGGAGTCGAAGAAGAATGCTCTACAATTACGCATCGTGGCAAAGGTGTTCATTGACAATATCTGTGCGTCTGCGTCGAGCATCCCCCCGTCTTTCCGCAAGATCTGCCATATCATCCTCAATGCGGTCGAGCCACGCTTCCCGGATGCCAAGTACACTGCGATCGGCGCCTTTATCTTCCTCCGCTTCTTCTGTCCCGCCATCGTCGCCCCGGATGTCGAGGGGCTGGCCACAAAGGCGCCTACCAAGGAGATGCGCCGCGGTCTCTTGCTGATTGCAAAGGTCATTCAGAACTTGGCCAACAATGTGCTGTTCGGCGTAAAGGAACCATACATGTTTCCGCTGAACGACTTTCTTGTGCAGAATGTCTTTGACATCACGGGGTTCTTGCACGAGGTGTCTGTGCCACCGGAAAAGATTGAAGGCCCAACAAACGTGGATCTGTTCGATTTCGGTTCATGCGTAGCGCTGCATCGCTTCTTGTACGACCACTGGGACCATGTTCGCCAGACCCTCGTCTCTAGGGAGAGACGGGAGTACGTCCGGTCGCCAGGAGAACTATCGCGTGGCCGCTCACCGCTGCTCGAACCCATTCGCAACCTCATTGCCAACCTGGGGCCACCTCCACTGGCCGTGTCATGGAATCGGCCTCAAGTATCTTCCAACAGCCCGCCGCTATACTCCCGATTCCAGAATTTCATGCTGCGCAACGCTTTCAGGAGCACCGAGTCCTTTTTGACAGCTAGAGCTGTCTATGATGGTGGTGAGAGCAGAGACGGACTTTCCATCATCTGCATCATTCTCAGAAACATTGAGACAGAGGGGATCGATCATGATACCTTGCTGTACTGTTACCTCAAGATTGCGAGCAGGCTTTGGCATGAACCATTTGGACTTCTCATTGATGCTACATGCTACAATGGTCGCAACGAGCCACAAGATGAGCTGTTTCGCATGCTCGAACTGCTCACGCCAACAGAGCTGGCGCGCAGTCTTTCCCGAATCTACATTTACAACATGAACAACGCCTTCAAACGCTGCTTCAGGCGACTTCTGAGGGTCTGCACGCGTAACGAAGCCAGCGTCTTTCATCCGAAGAATGTTGAATACCACCTTGTCGGAAATATGGAAAGTTTACAGACGCACTTCAACTTGAACCAGCTTCACCTCCCAAAGGAGACGATCAGCGTCATCCAGGATAGCCGCTTCGTTTTCAAACCTGTGACGCGCCTGTCCAAATCAAAGGGCAAGATAGAGGTGATCATCAAGGTGGGCGACCAATTTGTCCAGATCACCACGGCCAGGAAACAAGAAGTCTTTACTGGGTTCCGGATGAGCACAACGGTGAACGATGTCTTCCGCTTGGGAGACATTGATGAAGCTGCCACGTCTATACAGACGGAAGACGACTCTGCTTTCGGCCTTCGAGCCGACGGCGGCAAGATTGTCATGTACTTTACGAGTCCCATGAAGGCGGACATTCTTCAGAGCGTGCGGGGCGCCAAGAGCATCCAGGGCAAGGACAGCCGGACACACAAGCCAACAGAGAGGTTGATCCGACCACAGGATGTCCCTGGCACGCTCCTCAACCTGGCTTTGACAAATCTATCGAGTGCAGACCATGTACTCAGGGTCTCCTCGTACAACCTGCTCGGAGCACTTTGCAAGGCCTTCAAGTTCAGCTCAGCGGCGAAGCTTGTCTGTGCCAAAGATCTGTCCGTGCCTCTCGACGCCAGTAATTTCATCGTCAGTATGAGCAAGGAGCTAGCCAAGACGGAGCCACAATTGACGTCCGACTTCTTGACCGAGTTCTTCGTCGGCTGGGAGAGCTTTCCTGAAGAACAGAAACCGTTGAGTCTAGCGTACATGGCCCCGTGGCTCACTGGGTTGCGAACCAACGTTCTCTCCAGCGAGCAGGATCCCGAAAAGGGCCGGGAGCGCGTCGCGCTACTCATTCGAAAACTCATCGACGTGGCCATTATTGATCACGCCCAATCCTACACGCTGCAGCAGTGCGTTTGGCCGGCCATAGCGCAAGACGAGGTTCTACTTGAAATCTTCCTCGATGAGATCATGAAGACCTCCATGGGCTATAGCAACCATGACGAGGCGCTCGAAATCATCTCTTCAATCGTTGCTGGCATCGGGAGCGTCACGCTGCGTGGCAAGATCCTCTCCAGGCTACGCAAGGCTTTGAATCGCTCCTCTTTGAGGCCCACCAAGTACCTACCAGACAATGCTGTGTGGGCGGAGATCTGCATTCTGCTGCACTTCTGCCTGGCTCTATCTTTCGACAATGGCATCCAGGCCCAGCTTTTCCTTCCCGAAGTCTTCCACGTCGTGACTATGCTGTTCAACACGGGCAGCCAGTCCGTGCGCATGCTGGTGTACAGGCTACTCATCAATTCCGTCCACGCGGCGTGCACATCGTTCGCGCTGGACGACGTCCCGGCCAGCAAGCTGAGGGCCAACCTGGAGGCGCTGGGCGAGCCCAAGGGCGACATTTTCCCTATACATCCCACGTTTGTACGCGAAGGGGCGTCCATCTCGACGGCGCAGGACTCTGGTGCCACTCTAGCCGCGACCGAGCATCTGGCCGCTGTTCTTTTCGATATTTGCCAAACAGCTGCCCCGTCTTTAGACATGTCCAATGCCTGGCGATCACGATGGATGAGTTTGGTGGCTAGTACTGCCTTCCAGAACAACCCTGCGATTCAGCCAAGAGCATTCACAGTCATGGGCTACCTGGCGCGTGAGGAAGTGGACGATGACTTGCTATACCAGGTCTTGGTGGCCTTGCGTAGCAGCGTGGGTAGGTTTGAGGAGGAGAGCAGCACTGAGATGTTGGTATCCATCACAACATCCCTCTCCAAGATGATGGCCAAGTTACCGTCTGCGTCGCGCTACGGGCTGCAATTGTTTTGGCTGGCGATATCACTTGTCAGGCTGGTTCCGTCGGCCATGTTCAATTGTGCCGCCCAGTTCCTCGAATCGGTGCTGGCCAACATTGGCACTGTAGGGGACGTCAGGGGGGAGAACATGGTCTCTCTGCTGCTCCAGGGCCGCGAGCAGCTCGACGAAGCGGCCATGGCTCTAGATGAAGCATATGGCATTCACTTCAACAACAACAGCTTCCATTTTGCCGTGTGTGCTTGCTTAGCTCGGGGGCTGACCGACACCACCACCAGACCCACGGCCATGCGCGTGCTCTCGGCCTTTTTGGAGATGACGACAACTCCTCCAGAGCAAGGACCCCATTCTGGTGCACCTACTGTGTCCAGTTCGCCGTACTTGGCCTTGATCCGAGCCAGAGCCACCGGCCACGACGAGCTGAGGGACAGTCTTTGGCGAGCCGGCATTGACCCAGAGGACCCTGCGTCCGAGACCGTCGACTACCAAGGACGGCGCGACGTTCGGACTTTTGCTGACCATGAGCTGCTGCTCATCACCGTCATGGAGATGGTCGACTTCCAGTACCTCGAAGACGCTGTACAGACGCGAAGTCTTCAGTGGTTGAATGCACTCGCCCAGGCCCGCCCTGCCGTGATGATACATCTGTGAGTTGGTCCACTTTGTATTTGGTATCGAGGTCAAGACTGATAGTGAGATAGGTGCGGTTCCATGCGAACGATCCTGGACGACGTGCTGTTACACGGACAGAACTCGGCACCTCTCGAGGCAGCCCATACGCTGCTACGAACATTGACCTCGAACAAGAAATATGCACGCGCCATGAACTCGGGCGGCTCCATGGCCGAGATACTGGAACAAAACGGCTTTGGCGGTCTGTGGCGCTCATGCTCCATGGGCGCTATGGACGACATCCACCGAGACTGCTTTGACTTGACCGAAAAGCTCATTGAGGTATGTTCCCTTGACTGTTCGATACAGGGGTGCAGCGGACTGACTTTCTTTACAGCTCATTATCATTTAGCGACGGCATGTAGTGATGATTGATGATAGCCCAAAACTATAGAACAATTGGATATTTTCTGCTACATTGACGCTGTTCACTGCCGTGACGCTTGCTTGCTTGCTTACTTGAGACACATGATTCCGGGACTTCACGTTTCGCAAAGGCATTGGCGGAATATGTCTAAAAAGTGTGCATGTTGGTTTATTTACTTTCGTGTACCCCTGATGTATGCCAACTAGTCTCAAAATGCCAAATGGTATCGCTCCCGATCTACGATTTCCTTTCCCCCCTAGTCACAAACGCCCGACCGTGATGACATGCTTTTGAACGACAACTCGAATTTCGTCCCTTAGAACCGGAGATCCCAGCCAATCTTGGGACCCAGCTTCGGCAGCTCCTCCGCGACACTCTGCACGTCCTTGTCGCCGCGGCCGCTGACGCAGATGACCACATCCTCGCCCTTCTTCATTGTCTTTGCGAGCTCGATGGCTCCGTAGATACCATGCGCCGTCTCGAGCGCAGGAATGATGCCCTCGAGCTGACTCATGAGGCGGAAGCCAATGAACGCCTCGGCATCGGTGGCCGCCACGTACTTGGCCCGCTCATTGTCCTTCCAGGAGCTCAGCTCGGGGCCGACGCCGGGGTAGTCAAGGCCCGCGGAGACAGAGTGGGTGTCCTGGATCTGGCCGTGTTCGTTCTGGAGCACATATGTCCTCACGCCGTGCAGCACACCCTTGGAACCGCCAGAGAGGGTGGCGCTGTGTCGTGCCGTGTTGATACCGTCGCCGCCCGCCTCCACGCCGAGAAGCTTGACGCTGGGGTCGTTGGAGAAGGGGTAGAACATGCCGACGGCGTTGCTGCCGCCACCGACGCAGGCGACGACGGCATCGGGGAGCTTGCCGCGCTTCTCGAGCATCTGCTTCTTGGTCTCTTCGCCAATGACCGACTGGAAGGTACGGACGATGGTGGGGAAGGGATGAGGTCCAATGGCAGAGCCGATGATGTAGTGGGTGGTGTCGAGTTCCGTCACCCAAGCGCGCATGGCCTCGTTCACGGCGTCGCGGAGCGTCTTGCTACCGGCCTCGACGGCGACAACCTTGGCGCCGAGGAGACGGATGCGGAAGACGTTCAGCGCTTGACGACGAACATCTTCGGCTCCCATGTAGATTGTGCACTCCATACCAAACTTGGCGCAGACGGTAGCGGTGGCGACACCGTGTTGCCCAGCGCCGGTCTCCGCAATGATCTTGGTCTTGCCCAACCTCCGGGCAAGCAACAGCTGTCCGAGGGCATTGTTGATCTTGTGGCTGCCCGTGTGGTTCAGATCCTCTCGCTTCAACCAGATGTTAGCACCTCCCGCATGCTCGGTGAGGCGCTCGGCCAGATGGAGACGGCCAGGGCGTCCCATGAACTCGTAGTACGAGCGATACTCCTCCCAGAAGGCGGGGTCGTCCTTGATGGAGTTGAATCCCTCCTCGAGCTGGGACAAGCAGTCCATCAGACTCTCGGGCACGTACTGGCCACCGTACTCGCCGAAGCGATCGGGGATCTTGCCGTGCAAGGCAGCGAGCTGTGACACGAGGTCGGTGTCCTGCTCAGCTGTCAAGCGGTCCTCGTTGGTGATGACCCCCTCCACCGTGACGCTCTCGCCACTGGGCTCTTGGGCGGCAGACAGGGTCTCAATGATGCCAACTTCGCGCGTCTGGCCGTTGGTATTGCCGCTGCGTCCTCCGAGGTAGGCGCAAAACTTCTCCACGTCGTTGTAGGCCTCGCCGGTCTGGGCCTTTTGCACTGTCGAGATGATCTGGCTGCCCACGACCACACCGTCGGCGACCTGCGCGACGCTGAGGAAGTGATCACGAGTGCTGACGCCAAAGCCAACAGCGGCGGGCTTGTTGCCGCTGTACTTCTTGACGCGGGCCACCAGGTCTGGGAGGTTGGCGTTCATGGTGCCCGTGGCACCTGTGACGCCTTGTCTCGACACGACGTAGATGAATGAGTCGGCGAGCTGGCAAAGAATCTTCATACGGGCTTCGGAGGTGGCTGGGGCGATCAGAGGGACGTACGACAGACTAGTAATGGTTAGCGACATTCTCTCCACCGGGGGGTGATCACGCATAGCTTACCCTCCACGTGTGCACAGCTTGCGGAAAGAGACGGCCTCCTCGGGCGGCAGATCCACGACAATAAAGCCATTCACGCCACTCTCGTGGCAGTCCTTCAACAGGCGTTCCTCGCCGTAGCTCAACAAGGGGTTGTAGTAGCCCATGAGCAGGACCGGTGCCTTCAGACCCTTACTCCGCGCGGTCTTGACCATGTTGAGGGTAGTCTGTATTGTGACGCCATTCTTGAGGGCGACTGTGTTGGCTGTCTGGATCGTGGGACCGTCGGCGATGGGGTCGGTAAAGGGCGCGCCGAGCTCGAGCACGTCTGCGCCTCCACGTTCCATGGCCAGGAGGATCTCGGGCGTGTCCTCTGGCTTGGGGTATCCTGCCGTGACATAGGTCACCAGGGCGCTCTAGAGGGATATCAGCAACGAGATCGTGCGCGCGCTTGTTCCAGGTGGCTTACCCGGCCCTCATTCTTGCACTGCTCAAACGCACGCTTGATGCCCTCCATGGTGTAGGTGCTCTCCGCTGCTGCGAATGCGGTATGCTGGTAGGAACGTATTGGAAGAGGGTTGAGGGTTGTCGTCTGGTGGAGTTGAAAACGAGCAGATTTATTATATGGCAACAACTCGAGGGCGATTGATGTTCTTCTCTAAGCAGCGGGAAGAGAAAATGGGCCAATCTACTTATATACCATCTATTGAAGGCAAAAAAGTCGACAGACAATGGAACGAGGTGTGGGTGGTGGGGTGTTCGTGTCATTGCCTCCCGCCAGGCGACTTCGGAGGGTCCTGATCGGTGAACCCCACATTGCCGCTCCGCAACATGCATGCGTCTCGCGGATGCACGCTCGGACCATTCTGATGACTCAGCCGTGCTGGACGGACTTGCCCCTTTGGGACACATGCTGTCGCATAGTCGTCTGCTAGCCGGCAATAGGGTAGGTTGCTCCATATACTAGACTATAGCCTCGGCTACACGGTGCGGGTATTAGCACCAACTATTGCGCCTTGATCGTAGATATACGTCTACCGGAACGCCCATTACTTTCAGACCACGAACAGCCAGCTTGCGACGTTTGTTTTCATACCAGATCATCCCATACCTCATCATGGCACCTCTCAAGCCTCACTGGGCGCAGCCATCGCACCCGGACATTCACCAAGTCATTGTCAATGAGGCCGAGTTCACATCCAAGAGCCTCTCCAAAGTTACAGTGCCACCGTTTGGAGTGTTTGCAAAGATGACCTTTCCGCCATGTACAATCACGCCGGAAGCGACCTATGCCACCGTACAGATCGGGAAGAACAGGCACATCAGTCTCAATAGTGACTTGCTGTACCTCAACCACTCATGTGACCCATCTTTGGTAGAGCCCACCCGCCCTTTCGAATGAGTCTACGCATGAACGACAGTGACTGATCCAAGGAAGATTCTCGATACGGCAAACCTCGATATTCTTGCCGGTCCAAAGGGGTTGAAACCTGGTGATGAGCTCACGGTACGTGTCCAATGCCGCCCACCCACCCGTTCATCATGTGACATGCGGACGATGCACACGACTACGATAGGAAACTCACACGACATGACACTAGTTCTTCTACCCTTCCACAGAGTGGCACATGGCGCAACCATTTGATTGCCTGTGCCAATCAGCCTCCTGCCGCGGCACCATCACAGGCGCCCAGGGCATGGACCCTCGAAAGCTGGAGGGCTTCTGGCTGAGCGGCCATATTCGTCAGATGCTCGAGGAAAAGGCCACCGGCAAGCCTGCGGATGCCCATGCGGACGTGCCAGACTTGGTAGGCGATGCAACAGCCCAGCTACTGAGAGCGGCTCTATCCAAAGCCGAGGACGTCGCCAGCAAGGCCCGGGCGGCATTGGACGGCTACACTGCCTCCACGCTCGTGTCGTTGGAAGATGAGGCTACCAAAGGGACAATTGCCAACGCCGCATAGAAAAGGGGGTGGGGGATGCCCCGTTCTTTTCATACATGGCGCAGACAAGGTCTGCTACCAGTGCTCGTGATGATGTGTATATACACTTATATATGTGCCACTCCGTAATATACTGGCCCAGCGTCTCGGGTATATCCTGAACAGTCCGGCTCTCGAAACTAAATAAACAGTGAATCTTCAACCCAAAAGATTGCCCCTACTGCTGCAGCGCAACGCCGTGCGCACAGATGCGATGATTGTGTGATATATGTGTGGTTCTGCGGTCCCACATGCTCTTCCGCTTGCATAGATTAGACATTAACAGCGCTTCTCCTCATTTTGATTCACTGGCCCATTTGGACCTCTCCATGACTCTCCGCGCCTGCAGGGCGCGGGTGAATTTCCACGCCTCATAGTCGGCCATGTTCCATGTCTCGAGGGCTGTGCGCATGCCAGTGTCCTCCGTCTCTGCCGTCTCAAAGACGACCTGTTTCGCGCGCTCCAAAAGAATCCACTCGAGTGTCGGGTCTTCTGAGGGATCCTCGCGATCTGGGGGCTGTTCTTGCGGAATATGAGCATGCTGCGGGATACTGAAGCCAAATCGCCAGTCGAGGTCGGATGGCAAGGGTGCCTCGGCCGTGAGGAAGAGGGTCCTCGACTCGGCTTCTTCACTGGCAATGGCTTCTTTGAACCGCATGATGCGACGATCGCCCGAGGCGGGGAGCTCGTCGTAGACGGCATGAGTATCGTCGAGGAGGCGGTCGGTCACCTCTAGTAACCAGGGGTCACGGAGGGAGTCGCGACGCAGAACGTTGAGGTCAAAGGTGTCCTTCAGCATGTTCAGAGTCGTGAGTGTCCAGGGGTGGGGCACGAATCCAATGGTGAAGGCTTTGGAGGCGTTATGGTAGGAAGACGGGGTTGCGATGCGTGTCGACCGCATGTCGGTCGTGCACGGTGCACAGCGCGGCAGGTTTGGCGGGCACGAGGCAGGCAATGGCGTCTCTGGACAATGCAGCAACGACTCAGCCAGCCCGATAGCCTCGCTGACCATCTTGGAGGTGTGGTTAGGGTACGGCTGGAGCACGTCGATGCCGTGGGAGAAGCTGTTCTGCCACACCACGTGCAAATGCGCGTTGATGAGTCTGTTGAGAGCCCGGAGACCATCAGCTCGGTTGAGACGAGTGGCCTCCCCAATGATGGCGTATTTGCTGGCAATGGTTTGCGGCCCATAGTAAGCCAACGACATTGGGGTCGCGTCCGTCTTCACAATGTCGCCTGGCAGGGCCGCCAGCACGCTCCTCGCCTCGGACAGCTCTAGAACAGCCCGTATGGCAGACTTGACCTCCTCGCCCGAGCCTGCCAACAGGCCACTGCCAAGGCCCTTCCAACTGGTCAGTTCAGCGTACTTGCCTCTGCGCAGCTCGGCCAGTAGAGGGTCTCCATTCGAAGCCATGGGGAGCATGGTGTTTTCGGCGAGGAGGCCGCCACCAACCGTGTCCCATGCAAGCCATCGCATGACGTCGGCCCGTAGCACGCCATCCAGCTTCAGCCTTTGGACCTCGTCGAATGCCGGGTTGATCGTGGCCTCGGTCGCGCCCAGGACGGTGGGGCGGAACCCATGCGCCCACCACGCACGTTTCCACGTCAGGAATAGCTCGTCTTCGGCTTCGTGCTCATCCTTTGGCCTCTCGACCGAGGTATCGCGGTAGCAATAGATAGGTGGGCGCTCTTTGAGGGGAGGGAGCAAGACGCGATCGTCTGTCGTGAGGTCGCTCGAAAAGGCCACCGCAAGCCATTTGCCATCTTGCCACCATGAGGATCCAGAGTGTTCGTCATTGCGTTCCCGAGGGGGCGCCTTTGTGGGTTTCTTGAACGGGTTCAGGGGACTCTTGCTGAAGGGCCTGGCGAGAAGCTCGCTCGTCGTCGGGGTCTGGTGCTCGTACTCGACCAGGCGAGGGGACTTGGGGACCGTCGAGGAAAGAGTCACGATGAAGGCAATGGCGGCTAGGGAAAGCAATGTGAAGGCCAGTGTCAGCCGGCGAGTTGTGATCCGAACGAGTGCGCGCATCAGCCGCGTCTTGGGCATTTTGTGCTGGGCCCTTGGCGACGCGCGCAGGAGCAGCAACCCAGCTCGCGGGTGCGTTCCTGTGCTGTTCCCGAGAAGCCTAGGTATGCCTTTTGTGTCATGTCATAAGGAACAAGTTATACATCCATCGTAATGCTATCGGTTGCTGGTATATTGGGTTCGAGGTCGTGCAGGGAGTGGGCGAGGTCGCGGGTGTCGCTTGGTGCAAAAGGAGTGACGAGGCCAACGACGATGTCGCAGTTGGTGGCCGAGAAGGAATGGCAAGCGATGAATTCGCAGGCGGGCAGAAGAGCGAGGGCGCGTCAAAGACGTCCGTTACCGTCGCAGGATCGGTGATTGGGGATTGAGATTGGGAGTCGGAGCTGTTGAGTCTTGACAGGAGTTGGCCCTGGTTGGCACATCCTTGTCGAGATGCTTCGCTTGTCCATTGGCTGCGCAGCTCGGCTTATTATTACAGCAGGGTCCATGTCGTTTCGACGCCAGGGGCTTGGAGGCTTGATCAGCGCGGGTGGCACCAGTAGCGAGCTGTCCAAAGCGGGGACTGACAGATTAAAGCCAGCACCTGGCTTGTGCTTACTTACCGTACCTGCCTAGTCAAATTGCCCCCTTGCTCACCGCAATTGACCCTGTTTATTACATGATTGCACTACGGTACTCACATGCTAATGTCGCCAATGTCTACTCCGTAGACTCGGGAACATCAAATCTCTAATGGCCATATGCTCTGTGTGTCCTTAACAATGTTCAGCAAATGCTTAGGTAGTTAAATAGTTTGACGAATGACCACTAGTATTAGCGGTGTTCGTTGTTCGGTGTTGTCCATGATCACGTCGTTGATTGGCCAACTTAGGATAATATGGGTCCGCCTTTCTTTCACAGATTGAGCCGCCCCTTCCTCCCTCCAACTTAACGCCTGGGAACGTTGTTGTATCCAGTATCCACAGACGACGACACTCATTGACACTGCAACGCATCGGTTGCACTACGTCTATTATGGCCTTTGATTGTGTCCAAGTGGCTCTTAAGCTTTTGCGCATACTTCACAATGCTGTCACCAACCATTGGCCACTTCCAACTGTCGACCAGACACTTCAAGCTCGCCATGTAAATTCATGCTTGCACACCTGCTTGGGTTTGCCCAGGGAGAAGTTTCCTTCTTTGTGCTTTGAAGCATCTAAGCCTGTGCTAGGCTATAGCCACTGTGGCACAATGCCGTGATACAGGCAACAACGTCGTGCAGTTCGACAAGATGCAGCGACTAGATTGAGCAATCGACAACCAGGGCACCGGGGTCTCATTGGAGACGTAACAGTCTTGCAGCTGCCGGATTGTCTCCTGCTGCATACTAGTAAGGTACCAAGGTACTGCAGGTTGCCCTGCCTGGTTGCCTTCTCGCGCGCATCTTCAGTCCATCATGGTCCAGTCTGCAGCTGGATTTGATTCCATTCGTACACTTCCCCGGAACATATAAGTACTAACTACTATTACGTTACTTGGTACACCCTGTTGTATCGCTGAGTTTCAAGCTTAGTGTAAGGTAGGTAGTAGGTACTTGGGCAAACTATTGCCGGCTCCAGTCATTGCGCCTTCTTGCTGGAGTACTTCAGGTACCTTACTAAACCTACCGTACCTTATTAGTCCTTGGATCGTCCCAACTCTCTCGAGATACTGCAAGCTTGCAATTGAATAGTGTTCTCTGGGCCGTCCCGATTTCTGACAAGCAGTTAACTTTCTACATCATTCTTTGCAGACTCTATCCCAATCTTTCTCTCCACCAGCGGATAAATCATCGTCTATTCACAAGGGAGCTCTTTCTGCACATCTCCCGTCTCAACAGCACTTTGCCCATCGCTGGCGACGGCCAGAATGGGTCGCAAAACTTTCAACGCCCATCTTCAGCAAGCAAAGAAAGCATCTGTCAGCAATGTCTCTTGTGTTCAGGCTGGCGAGAGTGACGGCCAGCTGGCGTTCACCTTCTCCTACCCAGACCTGCGCCCTCTGAAAGTGGTAATAATGGCAAAAGGTATATGTCCGTCTTCAGTACCATGCTCTCGATGGCTAACTCTTAATGTGTCTTGTAGATACCGACGCATATCCAGCAAAAGCCGACTACTTTCTGTTTGTTTCGTCGGATGAGCCTGACCCCCACATCGTGAGCTTCCTGCAGGGTCTCGTTGGCTTCTTCAACAAGAAAACTCTACCCCAAATCGTCGATTTTGTATCAGCCAGCCTCACAACGTATTTGTTAGAGCCATGTGGGAGAGCTGGCGCAGAGTCGGCATCTCAAAAATCGCTCGGCTGCGAAGACGTGTCTTTGGACCTGGGAAACGAAGGCTCCAGCCTCGACGATCAACTCGACTACGACGGGACCGATAGCTCGATGGGAGAGGATGAAAACGATTTCCAACCTATTAGCAGCGATGACGACCACGACTGTTTGAATTTGAGCTCTACCGAGGCAGCCACACACGCACTAGATTGTCTTCATACAGGGCCTGAGGCCTTGAAGCGTCAACGAAAAGACCTCAGAGCGGCAATGGAAGCCGGATTTTCTATTGGTGTCTACAATCACGATGCAGAACACACGCGCGGACATTGCATCATCTTCTCCCTTTCTGTTCCCATCATGAGATTGGGCATACCAGAGGAGGCGTGTGAAACATGGCATCTCGACAAGGAAAAGCATCTAGTTCTTCTTATGAAGACGACTGGCGGATATCCCATTCCGGACATCTACATTCAGGATCGCCTTAAAACTGAGACGTTCCGGTTTGAATTTGGTCAGTGCGAGGAGGCCAAGCCGACAGCGGCATCTGCTGAGCAAGTATTCCAAACATCCAGGGCCAGGGGTTTGGATGACACGAGGAAAGGCGCCTTCGAGCCTTTGTATATGTTTCAGTACATCTCACGCACGTTAACAAATGATCTCCCTGCACTTCTCAATCGCCGACGGCAGGACAACGTCTCATGGCTCGCTGCATTGCACAGCCTGCGCTCTTACGGTGGAAAGACTACGCCACAGGCTTGTGCGGCACCCTGGAACGACACGGCGAGCCAGCCCTGGGTTCTTCAGCAGGACCATGCGCTGGAGCCACTAGTGAACATACCTTTGGTGGCCATGCAACATGCGCTGCAATTGTTCATGCGATGCGGAAGGTACTGTGTCAACTGCTATCGAGCCATGGACGATGGTTTCCAAAGTATGAGACCCCACGTCTGCGAAAATCCGCTCTGCCTCGACCACTACATTCTCCCTCAACCAGGGGCCAGGTATCGAGCATGAAATCATCCACAGTCCCTACGTCGTGGATCTGTTGGTTAGTTTCTTCTACACAAGCTTGAAGTGTAAACAGCTACGCCACTTTCCTCTCTCCCTCAAGCTCAAGGTTCCAGCCCCCCCGCGAGACGGAGCCAGTCTTTTGGAATGCCAGACGCAGATGAGCCATGGAGATCCAAGCCATGGTATCGCGACACTGCTGCCAACAGAGACCATGCCCAAACTGCCCCAAACCTGGATCAAGGCTGGGCGGCCTTTCATACTCTTCCCAAAAATTGCTCTTTCGACGCAGTTACTCAGCGGAGGCTTTCCTAGCCTTTCTACATATACGTTGGAAGGACACCCTCGTGTGGTACATATGTCGTGTCACAGAGGAGAGAGCCCACGAGTTCGATTTTGAGATCACCGCCTACCATAGCGCAGGAAAAGCGTCAACAGTGACTGCCTCTTCGACAAATTGGGATGCAACTGTGGCGTCGCTTCGGAATCTACAGAGTCTGGTTTTGAATATGTACGCGTATGCATTCTGCGATGACCTGTACAGCCTTAAGCCAGATGATCGCCCTGCGGCGTTGACACTGCTGACATTGGGAATACGGTCTGTACTCAAGATGAGGGAGTTCCTTTTGGCGCATCCAGATCGACTGCTCTCCGATGCCCCAGAGATTATTGACCAAAACACATACCGTCTGCTTCTGTGGATTGTAGCTGCAAATCGGTCACCCATTGTTCAAGACGAGCCCATCCCGCCGGCCGGGCCCGTTGAAGAGGGCTCGAATAGTCAGCCGAATATGGTGTTAGGAGGCCCTAAAGGATGGCTCCAGTTTCGGTTCGTCCAAGGCAGCCCCGAAAAGGAGCAACGCTTCAGAAGTGAGGTGGAGGCCCATCGCAAGGGTGCTGTGCCGACGTTCTTTGCTTGGCACGGCAGCTGCCTTGGGAATTGGCACGGCATTGTCAATGAAGGACTTAAATTCGATCGGACAGTAAACGGGCGGTCGTTCGGGGATGGAGTGTACTTGGGCAAGATGTTCAGCACCAGTATGATCTACTCGCTAAGGGCTTTCCCAGCACCAGAAACGTGGCCAAACTCTGTACTCAGAGTCAACGCTGCTCTGTCTATTTGCGAAGTGGTCAACAGGCCGGACCTGTTTATCGCCAAGCATCCCCATTTCGTCGTCGACCACATAGAATGGATTCAATGTCGTTTCCTTCTCGCCCAGGTGTCACCTACAGACGAGGCTCGACAGCTCCCGTTCCCGACGCCTCCCAAGCGCTCCTCAGAGGGATACATTCGTTAAGATCCAGAAATGACTCCGCTCGGACCCAAGGGACTGGCTCTCCAGATTCCAATGTCCGCTGTGCCGAGACACGAAGGTATTAATACACAGATGGCACAGTCCAGTTCCGCGAAAAGGGAAAGCTCCGGTTCCATCAAGCGCCCGTCCCTGAGCGCAAATGATCAAGACGCCAGTCTCTCTGTCAAGTTCGAAGGACTTGATCTTGATGGATTCCTCGACAATCCCAATGACGAGGCGACAAAGCGGCGGCGGCTGGATACAGACTTTGAGCCCGGAGTCCTGGAGTGGAACGAGCTGCCCAAATTACCTGAACCCAGCTGGGCTACCATGACCGCGACCAGAAGGCTGGCTCAGGAGCGAAGGGAAATGATGAAGACTCAGGACGAGACGGACCTTGCCGAGCAAGGTTGGTATATTGACTTCAAGCAGTTGGACAAAGCCGCCACTCTCTTCCGATGGGTTGTCGAGCTGCACAGCTTTGATGAGGCCCTGCCCCTTGCACAAGATATGAAAGCAAAGGGTTGCAACAGCATCGTGTTAGAGGTCTTTCCAGGTGCTGATTATCCTCTCACGCCTCCCTTCATCCGCGTCGTGCGCCCTCTCTTCTTGGAGTTCGCCCGCGGCGGTGGCGGCCACGTTACTGCGGGAGGGGCCATCTGTTCCGAGCTGCTCACCAGCTCGGGCTGGAGCCCGGCATTGAGCATTGAGAAGGCCCTGATACAGGTCAGGCTTGGCTTGTGCGACACGGAGCGGCCGGCGAGGTTGCGCAGCCTCTCCCCGAGTGACAAGGCGTGCTACAGCATCTCCGAGGCTGTGCGAGCTTACAAGCGCGTGGCAAACACTCATGGCTGGAAGATCTCGCCCGAGCTTGCGACAATGGCGAGTGCATGGGCATTAGTGTAACTACAGCGAGCGTACCAGTCCTGAGTGTGTACTCGGACTTTAATGACTTGATTGATTCCAATAGTCTCGCGACCTGGACCACCTAGGTGAAGCAAAACAGAAAATTGACATGAAATCCCGATTACAAAGCTCCTCAAACTCCAACATTGGGTGGCCTGGATCCCCGGTGACTGGTCGACCATGTGAACCGAACCCATTTGCATGTATGACGAACAACTAAGTACGCTCAGTTGTACTGGAAAAGAACGCTGATGGATTCGCCGTGGTGCACGCGACGGATGGCCTCGGCGAAGACAGCCGAGATGTCAAGCACCTCGAGTTTGGGACAGAGCCTCTTGTGCTCATCCTGCGGCACGGAGTTGGTGACGATGATCTTGTCAATGTACGAGGCGTTGATCCGGGGGATGGAGTCGCCGCTGAAGACGCCGTGCGTGACGAGCGCGTAGACCTTGGTGGCGCCCTCGTTCTTCAGAAGCTTGGCGGCACGGGTGATGGTGTTGCCGGTGTCGATGAGATCGTCGACGAGGATGCACACGCGGCCTGACACGTCGCCGACAAGCATCATGCTGGCATTGCGCTGCTCCGTGTACTTGATGGGACGTCGTTCCTGGTGTTCATGTGAGCAAGGCGATCATGGTGGCGGACTACAGGCCAAACTTACCTTGTGAATCAGAGCGAAATCAATGTCCAAGCTATCGCGGATGAGCGAGGCTCGCTTGGCACCTCCAGCGTCGGGAGAAACCACCACAGCGTCTCGATAGTCGGGAATGTACTGCTGGATGTAGTTCTGGATCAGGGGCTTGCCGTAGAGGTTGTCCACGGGAATGTCAAAGAAGCCCTGGTACTGCGGGTCGTGGAGATCCATGGTGATGATGTGGTCAGCGCCGGCGCAGGTCAGCAGGTCGGCGACGAGCGTGCCGGCCAGCGCAACCCACTGCTTGTAACCGGGTTTCGCCTGGAAGCCAACACTGTGGGCGGGCTTCTCGTAGTCGTGCGTCGTGAAGCTGGGTTGCGACGAGAGCGAGCCGTCGGGCTGGTGTCGGCTCGTGTTGGAGCTGAGGCTCGAGAGGGTATCAGAGCGCTTGGGAGGGTGTTGCTCGTTGCCATTGGGCTGCCTGTCCCCTGTTGTTGTTTTGGCCAGCTTCTCCGCAAGGCCGTTGACGCCATTCAACAGGCCACTGCTGCGCGGGCCGCCCGGTCTGGGGGTAGCAGGCACGCTCTCAAAGGTGTAGTCCTTCTTCTGCGCGTGGCCGTTGGACGAGCCGGACAATGGCGCGCCAGACTTGTTGTAGGGGAAGTCGGGTTGCCGGGAGTATGGGAAGAGCGGGACGACGGCGGTGACACGTTTCGCTGAGCCGGTCTTGCAGGCTGAGATCATGATGCATAGCTCCATGAGGTTGTCGTTGACGCTGCCGGAGCCGGACTGGATAATGTAGACATCCTTGCCGCGGACCGAGTCCTTGATCTCGCAGCGGCTCTCACCTCCGGAGAACTTGCTCAGGATGCGGTTGCACGGTGGGATGCCGAGGATGTTGCAGACACTGTCGGTCAGCTGCGGGTGGGAGTTCCCACCCAGCAGGCAGATGTTGCGAACCATGATGTGGTTGGTGTTTGTTTGTTGATGTCTCGATGCTCGAGTTGTCCTTGACAGACAAAGAAGGCCGGTTCTTTTTCTTTGCGTTCACCCCACCCTGGCTGGAGGAAGAATTTGTAGCCGCCGTCGTCGTGGCCGTCGTCGTCGCTTCGTCCTCGAGTGAGGCTTGCGCCAATTGTCAGCGTCGCAGTTCAGCCAGCCTGGGCTACTGGAACATACCTCTCTCAGTGACAGGCTATGCGACGAGCGCAATGGCGATTGTGTGGCCGGAAAAGGGCTCAAGAGCCGAGAACGATGGTGGGGGAGGTCGATGCGGACCTTGAAGCGACGTCAGGCGCAGTGCGCGTCGAACTTTTTTTTGTTGGAGATGGACCGATGCCGGCGTGTCGAGAGCAAGCCAGCCGGGGCAAGGACGTGCGTACAGTTACGATGAAGGACGTTTCTCACACTTTGTGCATGATGAAAGAAAAGGTTTCCGGTCTAGAAGAGGGTGTGCAGATTGATAGTAGCACAAAACGTCTTCGTCGCAATGAAACAAGCTCAAGACGGTGTGCTGCTTGACTGTTCCCAACTGACGGCTGCTGCCGGACCTGCAAAAAAAAAGTCGGTGGTTCGGCTCCAGAAGGGTTCCTGCCATTCTCTGTTTTTGGAGGAAGAAACAGCCTAAGAAAGACAATAGCGACCATCTGATTCGCCAAGGCTGACCACTCAGACCCGTCAATTCCAGCATGCCACCGCCTGTCGCACATCTGCAGGGAAGCTGCGAACGCTGTGCTACAGTGGCTTGCGCAATGACTACCGACTTTAACCACTGACAGCCCGCCATCAGAGCCTGTGGTGGCAGGTGCGGTCCCTGCAGCGTGATGCCATCCGGGAAAGGCCCGTCGATGATTGGGTACTGCAGCCTAGATTAATGGATCCGATTCGAAAGTGTCCGGTCCGTCAGACTCACTTTAATGCCATGGTCACACTCAAGCAAAACTTCCTTCATTGAAACGGGGTGTATCGACTTGGGATCATTCTCGCAAACTCAGCAGCAGCCGTTAATCCACGATGAAGGTCCTCGAAGCTCAGTCTGCCGTACTCTCCAACTTTGAGGTCCATCAGCATGTCCTGCAACAGAGAGAGCGGTACAAGAAAAGTCGCCATCGTGGCCCACCCAACTACGAAACTGTCGTCAAAGAGGTGTGTTCCCTTGGGCGCGCTCTTCGATCCTAGTAGCATACTAATGATGCCCTGCTAGCTGAGCAGCTGGCTCGAGGCATCGCCCAGTCCCATGAGCCAGAAGCCTACTCCCTATACACTTCAATCCATCCCCACGCTACTGGAACGCCTGCGGCCATATGATCTGTCCAAGGGAGAGGTGGTCATGATCCTCAACCTCCGGCCTGCCAATGTGGTCGCACTCAATGTCATTGTAGAGGACATGGCCGGCCGTTTCGATGAGACGCAGCAGGAGGAGCTTGTCACCATCATCACCGAGGTGCTAGGCGCCTTTGAACCAGCTGAAGAGGCTCCGCAGGAGAATGGCGAAGGCGACGTTGCCATGGACGACGCGGGCCAGGCCGCTTGATGGTGCCCTTGAGGTGTGTCAATCACAGTATTGTACACCCACCTTCCGTCTGACCGCCGGCTGCTGTCGATGTCTTGATGGCCGTCTTGCATATGTCCTCAAAAGCCGGCTTGATCAACTCCCCCGTGACCGCGGAGCACTCAACATATCGATCAGCGCGCAGCTCCTGCGCGGCTGCGTATGCTTCGTGCGGGTAGATGATGCCGTTGGGGTCGTTTTCTGATCGCAAGTCCCTCTTCAGCCCTACAATCACAATGGGCAATGAGTCTATACGCTCAAACGTCCGCTTGACCTCGTCAATCCACTGGTACTGTCAGCAGGTGCTCACGTCGCGTCTGGGGCAGTGGTGTGTGTACAAAGCGCTTCATGTTGATGAGGCTGAGACGCTGGCTGATATCGTAGCATATTATCACAACATCGGGGTCAAGTAGTCGCCAGCTGTCCGGTGACGACGTGTCAGAGAACTCGAGTCTGTACTCTTTGACGCCGAGCTTGATTTCAAAGACAAAGGGCTGGTCAATGTCGCGTAGGAGTGGGATCGGGTTGGTGTGCTCTCCTGCGCTGAGGCGCCTGTGATGTTGGGTCAGTTGGATTTGCTTGGGGATGGGTACATCGCAGGCCGATACGTACGAAAGAAAGGTTGTCTTGCCGCATTTCTCGTCTCCTACCAACAATAACCTGATGATTTCGTGTTCCATTGTGCCGTGCTTCTTTGTAAGGTAGGTGATGAGTATCTGACAGTGACAAACAGCGGACAGATGCAGTTGTAATATGTGGTACCCCACGATACAGCCTTCCGAGGCAAAGATAGCGCTGTAATAGAGTGGTGTCACACTCCAATTACCATCAAAGAGGAGCAAGGATGGCAAACAGCGCCATTCACTGCAGTAGTACTATTCGTTACTTATACGAAGCATGGAAATATGCCAATGAGGTCCTCAGAGACGAGGCTGTTGGTGTCATTGGACTGCGAACTCTGTGGTTTAGGGTAGTCATCCCCACGCAAGCTTTTTGTGTGTGGCTGACGGCCAGCCGCGCCACACCTCGAATTCTCAACCGCCACTCACTCACTGACTGACGGAGAGAAAGTCTCCAAGGCGAGCAGGTGTATGAGGTGAAAGGCCCACCAGAAAAGCCTCTGTCACATATGCGCCTTTCAAGCGGCAGCCTGCAGAGCTGTGCCAGACTGTTGACGCCCAAGGTCCTTATTCGTCACTACGCACGGCGATCTGTGCCTGCCATCAGCACCACGATGGAGGCCACCAAGCTGCCTGACGATTACGACAAGTGGACAAAGGATAGCCTTATCAAGCGGCTGCGTGAGATCGACGCCCATGCAAAGCGCGAAGGATCGAGTCTGCCCGTGGCGCCGCCGACGAAGAAGAGAAAGGATGCGCCGAAGCTTGATGCTGCCAACTACAACACGCGATACATTGCCTTGAAGCTGGCGTACCTAGGACGCAATTATGGGGCGTTTGAGTACGCAGCGAGCACGGCTACGCCGTCTATTGAGGAGGAACTCTTCAAGGCCCTGACAAAGGCCTGTCTCATCTTCCCCAAGGATCCTCACGTCGTGGATTTTAGTGGCTGCGAGTACTCCAAGTGCGGCCGGACAGATCGCGGCGTGAGCGCATTCGGCCAGGTCATCGCCCTCCGTGTCCGCAGCGCACGGCCCGTGCCTGGGAAGAAACCGAGAAAGGAGAAGAAGAAGAAGGCGGCCGAGCAGGAGGCGGCAGACAAGGTCGCGAGGCCATTCAACCCGGGAGCGGCGCCACCGGTGGAGGTGAGCCAGCCCGCACCCGAGCCTGAGTCTGAGGCTGTCGAGCCACCGCCCTTTGATCCCATCAAGGACGAGATCGCGTACGCCAGGGTTCTCAATCGTATCCTGCCGGCGGACATTCGCGTCATGGCCTGGTGCCCTTCACCACCTGAAGGGTTCTCGGCGCGGTTCTCCTGCCAGGAACGAGAGTATCGGTATTTCTTCACGCAGCCGGCATACAACCCGCCCATGGCAGTGCCTCACGAGCAGAAACATCCCGGGTGGCTGGACATTGAAGCTATGAAAGACGCGGCGAAGCGGTTCGAGGGCGATCAGGACTTTCGAAATTTCTGCAAGGTTGATCCGGCGAAGAACATTACAAACTACAGGAGGTTCATCATGGAAGCGGGGATATACGAGGCGGACGACATGTCGTCGCATTTCCCCTTGCCCGGTCGCGAGATCCCCACAGACGTCGCTCCCGGCTTGCAAAAATTACCCAAGGTGTACTACTTCAAAGTCCGGGGCACGGCGTTCCTGTGGCACCAGATCCGTCATATGATTGCCATTCTCTTCAACGTAGGACAAGGTCTCGAGACACCGGACATTGTGGACAGACTTCTCGATGTCGAGAACAATCCTCGTCGACCCACCTACACGATGGCGGACGAGGTGCCGCTGGTGCTGTGGGACTGCAAGTTTGTTGGCGAGGGCGCGGCGCGGGATCCGGAGGCGAGTGAGAAGAACCTCGACTGGCTACACGCTGATGACGAGGTCGACAGCAGCAAGAACGCTCTGTCGGTGACACTCGGCGACTCAGCATGGCGGGTATGGAGGGACAGGAAGATGGACGAGATCCTAGCCAACGGCTTCCTGCAGATGCTCTCACGGAAACCAGAAACAGCCACCGTCCAGGTCCCGGACGTACCCGTGCCCAAGACAAAGCCCAAACCCTGGTCGACCCAGCGCTTCGAGGGCGGCAACGGCGCGCGACTGATGGGCACGTACATCCCCGTCATGGACATGCTCAAGATGGAGACGCCGCAGGAGCAGTCGGATCGCTACGCGAAGCGAAAGGGGTACATTTCCATGGCGGAGCTCAATGACGCCAAGTATGGTAGCAAGCAGGACAAGATGGACGAAGACACGGGCGAGTAGACTCCTCGGTACCACACAGCAGCGTAAATCACACAAAGACGTAGTACAACAAAGGCCCCAGCGTGTCACCCCTTTTCCTCCGTCGTGTCGCCGCCCCGGCTTTCGTACAAGCACGCCCGTGCGCCTCGCCAGACCGTTTCCACAATGGACCTGCGCGGCAACAGCCGTGGGAACACGACGACGACATTCTCCTCCCCCTCGACGACGACAATCAGATAGTACCGCACCTCGAACCCCCTAAAGGCCTCATTGACGAAAATGTCCCGTATCTTCTCCGTCGGTATAAAGCGCGAGGTGGCGCTGGCGAGGTACGTCGCGGGCGAACTGCTCGTCTGCACGCCGAGACCGCGCATCACGAGGAGGGACTCGGTCGTGTGCACCCGCAACGCCAGCAGGTAGCAGAGCGCCGCGGCCGCGGGGAGGAGGACGACGAGCGGCACGTTTTCTACCAGGCCTCCCACGAGCTGTCCCAGGCTTGACTTGTGCAGCGTGTCGAGCGCGTACCAGACCGCCTCCATGCTGAACCAGCCGTCACCCGTGGGGCATGTTGAGGGTAAAGAGGGCTGGGCGTAGGGGCTGCTGAGCCATCGTGCGTGGAGAGCGAGCGCCGTGAGCAGGACGAGAGCGACGCGCAGCGCGAGCAGGAGGACGCGTAGAATGCGCAAGGGGATTGTTGGTGGGGGGAGGGTGGTGACGGTGAACTCGGCGGTGGTGGGCGACGGTCGGCGCGTGTAGAGGCGAGGGGTCGTCGTGAGCATGGCTGCGAGCGCGATTGGTTGGCAAGGTGCGCGGCAAAGGAGTGTTGAGCGTCAGATCATGATCGTACCATCCATGCTGGAGAAGCTGAAGTTAATGTTGGAGACGACTGGACGTGGTGCGTGTGAAGTCAAGGTAGCTAAGGAAGAGGTGGTGGGTCGAGGTGGAGGCGCCGGCCTTAGGTATATAAGCTGCTATTGCAGGTTTTACCAGCGGCTGTCATGGTCTAATGGTAGAAGGCTCACAATTGCCTTCTCCGCTCAACCCCAACTCCATTCAGATCCCCCCCGACGGCGCCCAGCCCGAACGCTGCGGTGGCCGCCCACTCGCATGGGTAACCTGCGATGCTGGTGCCTGCCCTAAGCAGCTGGAGATGACCCTTCAGGGAGGTTTCACTCTGCAGAGACTTCTCCCCCGTCGCGTGGCGGGTTGGATTACGCACGCGGGGGGCTTGGGGTGAGTGGACTAGGTTGGTGATGTCAACTCCTTTTTTGCCCTTTTGCGCGTTTGGGCTGGTAATCTTTGTGAAAAATGCGATAAGGTCTTCCTTGGGCGAGGCGTAATCTTTTGATATCGTATTTGCATTCTCAAAAGATCGTGTGGTGTTGCAATGGCTGAGTCGAACGCGGACACTTACTACTGAGCGTGTTCGCGAGAGCCTCACTATGTGCTTGTACGTAGCACCCTCTCGAATAATAGCACTTGTACACACTTAATACACTGTAATTGAATGTTCGATTTCACTATCTACACTACCCTCAATCCTCCAAATATCTCAACAAGGTGCCGCGAGGCAGCATTGTAGTCGAAAAAAAGCCACAGGAGTCACGTTCTCCTGGGAGGCTGCGAGCACGTCGCCGCCCGCCCACCTTTTGCAATCATGAATCATAAAGTAAAGTAAATAGCAAAATGCAGTCGTCTCCAGGCACGCCCATGAAGGCATGTACCGATGCCGAGAACCCCCTTTCATGGAACAAACCCTGGTCCTCCATGATCCATCCATCCACGCTGTGCAAACAGATGCTGGGCAAAATTGCACAGTAGAAGTAAAAAAGAAAGAAGGAAAGAGGCGAAGCGAAAAGAAAAAAACAGTGTGGTATCGTTTGTGAAGAACCAAATCAAAACATTTCGCTCTTGTGCAGCCCCGTCGACATGTACGACATCCTCGGTCCCTCCACAGGCGACCGGATCACATCAGGATCATAGTGTACCGGCGGCGGCGCACCCGGCGTCTTGACGTGGTACGGCATCGGGACACTCTCGTACGGTGCCTCCGTGGGGGGCGACTTCATGCCACGCTCCTTGCGTCCGCGACTAGCAGAGCGAAGGCGCTCGGTCGCCTTGGAGAACCGACCGGAGAGACTGCCCGTCTCGCTGCGACCTCGACTGTGGCCCTTGGAGCTGGGAGCGAGCGGTGCAGTAGCGGGAGCCATGCCGTCGTCCGGTGCAGATGTCTCGTCCTCGTCCATGACGATCTCAATCATGCCCGCCGACAAAGCCGCCCCTGATCCTGGAGCCCTCTTGGCATGGGGCAACGGCGCGGGCGGTGGAGGCGGAGGCGACGCGAGATGTTGCAGCTCCCTCAGCATGGGGGGCGCGGGCACTGAAGGGGCGGGAGGCGGCGGCGGCGGTACCAGAGCCTCTTCTTGCGATCTCCGGCGGCCTGGCACGCCAATCACCTCGTCGATGCCGCGCAGCTCGCCTACGCTGCCCTTGCGCCCATATTTCGTCGACGGAGGATCATCTGGGATGGGAGCAGACATGCTGCGGGGGATAAACGGCCTGGTAGGGGGCTGGTACACCGTCGAGGGCAACAGAGTCAGAAGCGACTCCTCCTTCTCCTTCCCCTTTTCCTTGTCGGGGGAGTTGCTAGGGGAGGCCTTTGGTGTGCGCCTCTGGGCGAACGTGGCCGGGATGGGAGGCACCGCGGGTTCAGCCTTAGTAGCAGCTGGCTGCTGCTGCTGCTGCACCTGCTGTTGCCGGTTGGCATTGTCATGGCTGCTGTTGTGGTCGGACTCAACAACGAGGCGCATGGCTTTTGGTGTCGCTGGTAGGCCGATGTGAGGCCCGCGTGCATACATACTCTTTGGGGGTTCCGTGGCACACCGGGGTGGTAGATGATCCTCGTTCGGCTCCGACATCTCCACACCCACCCGCGGGAAAGCAGGCGAGTACTGGCTGGGATGAGGGATCGAAGGTGTCCGCGACCTCTGCGCGAGTGACTTGCGGCGTTCCTCCAGCTCCTTGGCTGCCTGCTCCTTCTTCCGCTGTCTCTCCTCCTTCATGCGGCGTAGATCGCCGGCGTGCTCCGTCGAGTTGGCCCGGACCGTCTGAAGAGGCGGAAGAATGTCGCGAGCCTCGGAGGCATCGCGCTGGCGTGCATCGGCATTCTCACGGCGCGACACGGCGGGCGACATTGGCCCGCGGCTTCCATTGTGCCTCGCGCGGAAGTCCTCCTGCGCCTTGATGGCCTTCTTGTAGTCCTCCTCGTCCTCGGACCCTTGGTAGTGGCTGGCGGCCGTGGCGGACATGGGGACGGGCGACGATGGTGAACGTGGCCGGGACAGGGAACCATCGCGGCCCTTGCTCCGACCCCGTGTGTCAATGGCGAGCTGCGGTCGCTGTCGGCCTTCCGGGCTCTGGCGGCGGCTGCGGCTGCCTCGACTTGAGTTGCGGCTCTTGGTGGTCCTGGGCTTGAAGCTGATACTGTTGCTCGCCTTGCGCACAGTCATGGGGTCACCAGCCTCGGACACGCGAGGCGTGCTCAAGATCGCCAGGTCTTCAGGCGACATGGGGATCGGGGATGTGGGCGATCTCTTCGGCTTGGTCCACGTCTGGATGGCTCCGCGACCACGGTCCTCTGACTGATCCCGAGACCCGGGCATCCTCTCGCGACTGTGACTCCCATGACGACCCCGGGAGGCGTTCCTTTCCTTGCTGTGAGCGCCTCTCTTCTTGGGGTAGCGCTGCGCCGCATCGAGGCTGTGGATGTAGTCATCTCGCTGGCGGGCACCGTGGCGCAGACTGCGCCCAGCGCTCGAGTTGGATGTCACGGAGCTGGCAACCGAGCCCGCTCCGCGGCGGCGAGTTGGCCAGTGGTAGCGTGTGGACGAGGCAACAGAGTGCTCGGGCGAGGTGACCTCTTGTTCGTACTGGTTGACAGCCGGTGTATGGAGCTCCAGGTTCAGGCCCATTGGGATGCGGTCCCGCGAACCATTGCGGCGGTTAGCCCTAATGTCACGCACCTTGGCCATGAAGTCCTGGTTGGGCGGTGGGGGACGATCTCCGTAGTCCTGCATCATTCCTATCGAGCGCTCCCGCATCATCATGGGGCTGGCAGTGGCAGCGCGGTGCAGTGCCTTGCCTGTGGAAAGGTTGTCCTGCCCAGACGAAGCGCGACGCATGTGGCCGTGCACGTCGGCTGGGGCTGGCGGGGGAGGAGGCGGCATGTTGGCGCGCAGCTCGTCTCTGTTGAGGTTTGACGGCATCTCGCCAATGGAAGGGAGGCGGTTGCGCGGCCGAGCAGACGTCGGTGTGTTGAACCGACTGTTGTCAGAGGGTCGGAGGACGGCCGTCGCCGCCTCGTGCGTACCGCCAGGCGACACGGCGGACTCGGCGATAGGAGTCTGGGCCGCAGCGATGGGGGTCTGCACATCGTCACCGTGCAGGTAGAACTTGGATTTCTTGGGCTGGTCGCCAAAAGTCGTGATCAGCTTCAGGGCAGACGTCTTTGCAATGCTGCGCTGAGGCCCACGCTGGACTCCTGGAGGGGACAGGGGCGGGCTCAGCACCTCGGGGATGCTGGGGTTCATGCTTTGGAAGTTCAGCTGGGTCGCAGATGGCGATGTCCACATCTCCGTCGGCTCTTGATCGGTGCAGGCGAAGCAACGGATGGCCAGCTGCTGCTGACGATGTTGAACTGCCCACTCGCCCCATTTGCGGATGATGGCCGCCTGTCGCTCCCAAACGCTCGGGAAGATCAGGCACGCGAGGATCAGGGCCTCCATATATCTTTTGTGGGAGATATAGACCTCAATCGCGTCGTTGTGGTCGCCCATGCCCAGCATAATCGTCACGGCCACATGCACATCACCGCTCTCGAGCAGCTTCTGCACGTAGGTACGGCCAAGCTTGTGCTGTGACGAGTGGCCCCCAAAGCCGCTGAGAGCGAGCAGCATCCAGTCGGACGAGGTCATGTTCTCGGTGCTGGCAGCGAGTATGTCCGTGTCCATGTCCCCTAGCCACTTGGCCAGGAGAATGCGGCTGGGTGAACCCGTGGGGTGTCTCGCCATCTCATCGCGAATCAGGTCATCCACACTGTTGTGCCAGCCAAAAATTGTACTGAGCATCTGCCGGCTCAGGTTATCGTTTGTGAGGCGCGACTTGTCTAACTGGGTAGGATGCTTGTAGGCCAGATCACTCAAGCGCGCCCGGGTGAATTTGAACAGATCGTGCACCTTGCTGGCGTCTGGGCTCCTCGGCACCTCATTCCGCAGTCGTGAAGGGCGCTGCCTGGATCGCGTCGAGGACCCCGTGGCAATACTGGTGCTGGTGGTGCCCATGGAGTATCCCATGGAGTAAGTATCAATATCCGGCTCTGGCTGGTTGCGGCCAATGGTCGAGGACTTGAGCGAGGTGCCCGCTGAGATATACGTCCTCTCACTCATCCCGCGTGAGCGCAGAGACCCCGGATAGCGTCGCGGCGTGCCGGATCCTGCCGAGGACATTGAATTGGAGGTCAGTCCACTACGACTCGATACGGGACTCGCTGCTCCGTATGGTGTCTCGCTACCAGAGTCGTGGGCGAGCTGGCGCTGGAAGCGAGCCATTGGTGGCATGTGATCCTCGTCGCTCTCCGATACGCCCATCTCCAGAGGGATGCTGCTGCTCTCAGACTCGGACGTGTGGATAGTAGTGGTAGAATGTGCTGATTTGTCGGTAGGCTCTTCGATGGAGTTTGGAGGTGAAGGTGGCAGCAGATTGGCGGGATGTTGCACGTTGGCTACCATGATGGAAGGGGAGTTGAGATCGAACTGCTGGACGGTATTGTTCGGGCCCAATGTGAACAGGCTGGCACCGGGACCCCAGACAGCCAAGCCCTTGACATGCTCCAATGTCGGGATATCGTCTGACGTGACATGTTTTGTTCGCACATCCCAAGATAGTGTTTGACTGTAAGT